TTGATTTCCCGCCCCCTCCTACCATCCCCCTCTCACGAAGCCGGTAATTTATTTTCCCTCGCGTGTAGGTAGATATGCGCAATGTATATTATAACAAATGTAATGGTTTTTTTTTTCGCGATCGCGTTCGTCGGCGTCGTTGTCCGCACAGTAGTATGTTTTATATTTATTTTTACGTTTTCACTCCGAACCGATATCAAATTGTTTGGTATCAGGCGCGTAATTTAGGAAGGCGGTACGAACGATCGCCCCCTCCCTCAAAATTCGTAATGTAGTAACCACGAATTAAGATATACGGTTTATACCACTCTTTTGCACATTATTTAATACCCAATAATTTTGAAGAAGATTAATCTCCCGTTCCCCCCTCAAATAAGCACCTTTTTACGTGCCTGGTTTGTTGTATCCACATGAAAAATCTTTTATCACTCGTCCACGATTATCATAATAGTAATAGAAGCAATCATATTGTTGTGCGCGATAGTGCCGTTATCTGAATTTCAATTAAACGATTTATGAACTGCGAACGCGTCGAGTAGAACTGCCGTCTTAACATTGTATATTCAGTACTACACCTATTATTATTATTATTACTTTGTAGTATGTGTGCTTTCGCTCGAGGCCTGATTAGAGAGAACATTATAGATTTTTTATTTTGTTGCATAATGATGCTTTTGCAACTATTATTATTCTTATTATTTATTACAAAAAATACCTCTCCCATTAAGTACACATAATATATTATAATAAACTCATAAATATAAAAGTACATAGTTAATTTTGTTCTATATATTTTATTTTATTTTACTTCATATTGCTCCGAACAACTTTTGCCCCCGTGACCGGTGAAATATCGGTTAAAGGCGAATATTTTTTTAATACCTAATTGTTATAATATATGTTTCAAATAATATAATAATCGTAATACTCTAAAAATAATATTTTATTTTTTATCTTCGGTTACATAGCTGCGCGCACGGTCATTACGGGTCGTAATAATTTCATATTATTTTATTCCTTTTATTCTTTAATTTTACGCTTATGAACTTTTCGCTATGAACAATGAACGTCAATGATTCATATACATTTTACTTTGTCCACTTTGCACGTGACTCGTGCAAATAATATCGCTTATTTACTTTTCTACGATATTTGTCAATCAATTATTAATATATATATATATATATATATTATGGAATAACGTAACTTATATAGATTAACATTCATGATATGTTATTTCTATAAAGATTCTCTCTTAGTTGCTGCTTAGAGAAAATAGTGAATAAGATAGAGATAAGACATATCTTATTGATACTCCTTCTAGCTGTTAACGTTTACCATTTTCGATATCGTTGTCGCCTATAGTATGGCTACATATTTTTTCCCTTGCAGTACTGTCTAAATTCTTAGTTCTTATTGTTTATTTTATACGATTAATTTTTTTATTATTATTCTTACATCAAGGTCATTGAAAGATGGCCTCTGCCACTACCGACAGTATATTATTAATTTTTTTTCTATAACAATGCACAACACATAATACTTCATCGTACAAGGGCCATAATTATATTTGCAATTGAAGTAACAGCAATATTTGTCTAACGTAGTTGCGCGCTATGTGAAAACCACTTTTGTAAGTTATAAATTAACGACCACGCACTTGACCACCAGACGCGGCTGCGGGGTTAAATCATATAATAACGATGTCCGAAGTTTTATTTTTTATTTTTTTGCTCTTCGAAAAGAGTATAGGTCAAGTTCTAATCTAGGTTTTAATGTTTGATTCGTCCGCGGTAGAAAACAATAATATAATTATAATATATTTTAATTATTAAACTACACTATAGTTATTTTTCTGCAGTTTTTTTTTTTTCATTTTTTATCGGGATCGGAATGCCGAGACAGAAGTTGATTACACGTAGTGATAAAATGGTATTCGCATGTAGATTTATTTGTAAAAACACATTATACTGAATTACAGAGCCGATTAGTATACGCACCTGCCGGATGACAATACATTATTAATTATAATCATATTTTCAGACAAATTCTTGCCTATAACATACACATTAAATCGTCATCGCAGTGATGAGTTTTTTAGCAATAATTGCTTAGTATGCAAAATATTATTACGGCTACAAGGGTAACAAACATCAAGAAGAATTTGTTTTTCTAAATTATTTCAAACCACTTAAGTGAGTTCCAAACACAATATTTAACGAATATATATATTATATATAATACCTATAATTGTCTATCCTTATTTTTTAAACGTTTCACGTAATCATTTCATTGTCGACGAATGTATTGCTAGCGTATATAAAAAAGAAAATAAAAAATATATTTTTAATTTTTTTCTTGCATGTTGTGTATACATTCCATCGACACTACGTGTATTGCGTATATTAATGTGTGTAACATATATTTTATATTATTTATTCTAATGTAAGTTTAGTTAAAATAATTCAATAATTTCTAAAATATTTTATTTTATTATTCTATTGTCTAATTATGTTAATGATTAAAAAAAAAAAATTAATTATATTTATTACAATTTAAAACCAAAACGAAATCATTTGCATTACCGCTATTTAAAGGGTTCATCCATCTGAAATATATTTTTAGCCTTCACCATATTCAGAGCTCACCAAATAATGTTTGCAAATGTTCTTATAATCATTGTTAAATTGTTATTACTTTTTTTTATTATACTTACGTTGTACATATAGTCTTATACGTTTAGATATATCGCTTTGTGTAAGAATATCTTTAGTAACCATTGAAATTATTAACGTATTCTAACAACTAATTTTTAGATCTTTTTAGATTTTGTGCAAATCATAGATTTATGTTCGTATATATTGATTTTATTAAATATATACGATAATATATTATATCAACTGTTTTTAAATTTAGGAATCAAGTCGATTTAACTTTTGATTAAGTGTAAACAATTAAAAATTGGATCTTAGTGTCTTGCTGAAAATTCTTAGGTTTTTCAATAATAACACCTATTCAAGCCTATATCTCACATATACAACAACGATTATTAGAAAACGGAACTTAATTTTTTATTATTTTTTTTTTTTTTTGACGGTGTTCACTTATTCATGACGCACATATATGCGTGTCTACTCGTGTTCACATTCACATGTGTGTATAGATATATAACGGGGCACTTGACAAAATAACAACATTGTGTATATACGACCGAGCAACATAAAAGTATAATGGGCGCGGCAGCCGTCGGGGATGGGTTCTTTCACTTTCTGCTCTGTATCTCGGACGAAGGGCATCCAGCGGTGGCGTCGACATAATAAATATATGTACGGCAGCGGTTGCGTATGTGTGTAGTGAAAGAACAAGAGACAAATTTCTTGGGATAGGATACGTGGCATAGACGGGATGAAACGGTCCTGCCGTGGGGCTAGAGAGAAGGATAGTGCAGTAGCACAACCGCCACAGGCAGGATCAAAAGGGTAATTGCATATGTATAGGGGACGAGAGATGCGCGGGGTCGCACCCCCAAGGGTCCTGTGAATAAATAATAAAACACTGTACTCAATATATACACGCGCACGACGACGAATATCTACTTACAGTAGTTGTATGTATATGTACGCACCGATGTCGGAAGGGTAGTACGTTTGTTTAGGGTTAAACTCGTATAAATCACCATCGATTTACCTCTCCCATGTGCTTTGGCTTCCTTGGCGGAAAATATATGTGTCACATTATTCAATAGATAGAACTTACCTCCTCCCCTACGCAACCGATATTTTTTATAATTCTTTCCGTCTGATTGTTTTATTTTTTTTATGTTTACATAGCTTCTAATGCGAAAATGTCTTGAATTTATTTTATTTTTGTCGACTGTATAGTTTGTTTCATTGCTGCTGCCACTCACTTTTGATTCGATTTACTTTCGTAAAAAGTCGAAACTCAAATCGATCTGTATACAGTATATAATAGAATGTGTATATAATATGTATGTACTTTTATTGGACTTAATTTAATATGTTACTCGTTGAATCGAGTTAAATGTATACTTTTAAGGATTTTTTGACAATTTTTTTTTTTTTATTTCATTCAAAAAAAAGTAGAGAGAGAAGGAGAATGATTTCTATTTTATACAAATGAGTATATAAGCCTACGGATAAATATAATATTGTATTGAATTTAGAGAACTATTCGTATACATTCCGATTGGTTATTATTTTTTTATATATATAATATAATTAAAGAATTGATACTTACGTTGTTATATATTTAATTAGCACTTATTTTGTACGTATTAAATTGATAAGGTGAAATCAGTTAATTTTATATAACGATTTTATGTCTATTGAAACGATAAAATGTTTACTGGCTGCATAATTAAGGTAAACAATTTATATGAAATTAACATATGCTCGCGTAATGCACCGTGTACAGTATTGTGAATAAAAATATGTGTACTTATTATTTGAGAATAATCCAAAGTAAATAAGTAATATTATTCAATCAATACACATGTTTTATGTTATTAACCATCAAATGCTCGTTTTTTCCATTATTAGACCTACAGTTTACATTACACTGCTGGTACATCTTCTAATATTCATTCCGATTCGTACATCATAAACATAACATAAACATATTTTTGTTAAGTTTATTTTATAACTCTAAAAACAATAATATGTTAACGAATAGTTCAAAATATTGTTTGTCTTAGATGTTTTATTATTATCCGTTTTGTTTATATTTTGTATTATTTCATTGTAAAAAAAAAAAAATGTTTTTCGTGAAGTTTAAAATAACTGGTATTTACTCGTTATTATAATTTTACTAAACGTGTGTGATTAGTAGAAATAAGATGCTAAATAGATTTTTCCAATATCAAATAATAAATAATTTTAAATCCAATTTGAATGCATTTTGATGATTTTTAATAATGCAAAAATCTTATATATTAGTAGTAAATATATGTTTTTTACTATAATATTTAATTTTGTCAACAGTAAACCGGATATGGGTGTGGATATGGACTGCGGCGAAGTAGTGCCTTCGGGGTTGGAACTACTGCAGCAATTGCAGGATGACTCGTGTACAACAATAGCGGAAAAAGAACGCAAACTGTCGGAAATGATTTTACAGTTGCAATTGTTCCGGGAACAGCTACAAGGACAGCTGCTCACTCAACAACATCATCCGAATAAGGTAATTGATTTTCATGCCATATCTCCGGGTGCTTATATAAAGTATAAGTATGAATAATTATGTTAACTGTTACTAATCGAACCCCTTGGGTGAAATTTGGGGAATTTTTTAATGGGTTACGGCTTAATTTCATGTTGACGTTGCTATTATTATGTTTCGTTGCGACTACAACGGCGGCGGTATGTATACAATTATATAATTGGTTGTTAAAAATCGGTGTACAAATTTATCGTAATGATTTTATTCACTGTCAAAGCGAATAATAATAAATATTTCGCGAGGCCATCTAAAATTCTTTCGTAGCCCACACACGTATATACATTTTGAAAATCGCTGATATCTGATACAGCTGCATTGTTGCATACACGAAGAAAAGCACTTGGACAATTTTCAGACACCCATCGTTCATAACGTAAGAGTTCTCGATCGAGTGATACGTTCATATGTTTATATATACATAAACGAGTACAGAGAAAAAATATTTAACTGCCTTCTCTCTTCTAGTCGACATTTATGTTTCATAATAACTTTTGATTTACTGCCGGTTTTGCTGTGTCATAATATAATAATACGCGCACTCACACAATCAAACTATTTTTATAATTCAAATGTTTCGCATCGCACCGTTATCGTATTGACGTAATAAAGGGTGGTTTTGTTATTGCACTGTAAGTATATAAATATAATTATTTTTTAGCATTTCGTTTTGAACATTACATTATTGACTATATTATTTCGAATAAATAAAAACCACATGTATTGTGCGAAATCCTTCGATTAATACGTACAAATGTATTATATGCCCATATGACACTCGTTCGTTGTATTCGGTTATGCAGAAATTTATTCGAGCGCACAATGAAAAAAAAACATTGGCTTAATTCGACATAAAAATAAAATAATAATAACAATAATTACAACGGAATCGATTTGTTTTGATAGTTTATTTTCACATCGAGTCCGTTTAATTAGTGTACATTGATAGAGCTTTACGATTTCTTTTGTACGTCACCGCAGCCGCCGTTGTTAGGTAGCATTTTTACGATCGGAAATATGAAAAGTCTCGCTCGCGCAATAATTCCGCACAATTGAAAGAGCTGATTTTATTACGCGGTGCTGCGTGCGCACAGTGGCATGTGGAAATAAGCGGGTGGCGGACGGCCGGCTGTGCGCATTCGACGAGAAATTAAAATAAAAAATATACTTTGAAAAAGCCTGGGACTTGGGACGAGTCGGAAAAAAAACCGGAGAAGAGTCCACTATGTACGTGGAAAGACGAGCCGTTTTACCTAAATTATATTGTGTAGTTGGTTTTTTTTCCTTCGTTTTCATTAATAACACAACGCCGGCTGCGCGCATACTATACACGCTTCTTTTCTTTTTCATTACTCTGCCGTTTTTCTTTTGTTCCGCATTCGGACTTTAATCTGCTCCTGTGCTTTTGAAAAGAAATGCTTTCCTTTTGCGCTCCCTCCTCCGACCAACACCACATCCACCGTTCACCGTGTATTCGACCCCCTCGTACTGTATCGCATATTATAATCATTTTGTTTCCCTGGTTATATCTCATTATTTCCGGCCATTATGTAAACTTTTCAACGAACGGACGTGCTCTGCCGTTCAAATGACCGTAAAAACGCTGGTGCGGTAGTAGTAATGTATACACTTTTACGCACAAAGCCGCTGCCGCAGTGCAGATTTATCGGAACAGCTCTCCAACCGTCCGTCGGCATTGTGTTTCGCACCGCGCCGCGCTCTTTAACTTTTTCGCGTAATGCTTTCGAAAAGGATCTTGCTAAAGGTCAGCGGACGATAAACGTTTTGGAAATTAAAAATCGGCTGACACGGTTTTACGCGGGATTTTACCGTGATCAAAACATCATTACGAGAAAAAAAACGTGCACGCCGCTCGCGTTTTGTAGGTATTTATATGTTATACGTACATTCGCATTTGATGTGTGTAGTGTAATGTATTTGTGTGTGTATAACGAGAAGTTAATCCGACAGGGCTCGAGTACGAGACGAGGCGTGCGCGCGTAAAATCCATTTTTGATTAATTTTCCCAACGGCTGTTGCTGCGACAGTAGGATTAAAAAAATTAAACAAAAACGAAGAACCGGACATACGGTGGGTGGACGGCACGGAAAGGGTTGCTAATATGATTTATTACGGAGAATAGTATTCTTGCAGTGATCGTCGGGGTTCTGCAGTCCGCTATGCGCGTATAATACTATTCACCGCTAATTCCGACGAGGGTTTTGGTAAAGTGGCCGCCGGTGCATTAAATATTCATAAACATATGTTTGATATTTTGCGTTATTGCTCACGCGATCGACACAAACGAGGTAGACTGCGGTCCTCGAGGGATGTATTACACATATACATGTATATACATAACATCAAATTGTACAACGATACATGACGTGTACCAAAATATGTATAATATGTATGTTTTGTGTGGTATACGTATGGTACAGCTAATGCGAGTGAGTGCGTGTGTATGAAATTAATAATGCGTACAAAGCATATTATAATAACAGACAGGCATTTAATCGTTCACGGTCGACGGGCTTAAATGTGTCGCCGACGACTTAATCGAGAGGGTGTCTCAGGTTTTACGAAAGCGGGTTCCGACGATGCCGTGTTTATTGTACAATTAAATGAAGATGAAAACTTGAGAGGGCATAGTCTTTCCAAAACATTTCGAAGCACCCTTAGAAATGTATCAACTAGTTCACAAATAATATATTAGTATACGTCAATGTATCGCACAGAAACACAAAATAGTATATAGTAATAGTTGTATGCTTGCATACGTGTTTTTACCACAAATAATTGTATTCAATTTTGATTTTCGATAAAAATTATGTTTTTTCAAACGCTCATTAGAATAGTTTATCCGTAGATAGTTGTATTCAACGTGCAATAAAAGGGCTACAATCGCGTGCGTATACTTCAGCGGTATATGTGCAATATCGATATTAAAATATTTTATGAACATCAAATGTCTCCGCGTCTTTACACACTTCCTGCTTTATACCACGAATGTGGGTGCGTGACAATAAAGAATTCATTACACCGCGTACTTTGACCGCAGCGCGAAGTGTTTAAATTAGAATTCGTCGCACACGCCTGTCCGAAGATTTGCCAACAATTATTCATTCAGTCCCTCTGCCACGGGCGCAACGTTTAAAACGCGTACCGTCGTATCCGTGACTCCGTCGGTGATGGGTACCCGACGTCAAAGATTTTGTCTTGAAATCCGTCGATTTAACAGTTCGATTGTTGTTGATTTTAATTTGATGGATCCGGTCCTCTGTTTTTCAATCGTTTCTACTACATATTATATTTCAAAATAAAAGTTAGTAGTCAGTGATGCACTCTACAACTATATATCATTAGACACGATTTTATGTTTATCTATTTTTAGTATAAACCAACACGTCGATGTTTGATTATGTAAGTAATAGCACTGAATCAACTGCAATCTTACCAGTATACTTCGTACATATTATAGTACAAAATATATTTGTATACCGATCGCTGTCTGTTTTTGATGTTCCAACGTTTTGGATCATATTTGCAATGTAGTCTACTGGGCTGCTGGTATGCGTGGTGTATGCGTTTGTTGGCCGATTGATTTATTACATCAAATGAGAGCTAGAACATAGTTTTTTCCTTCTCGCGCGTTACACTACGACAATAATTATGTTATTATTATCATCGTCGTCGTCGTCTTAACCTAACAGAGGAAAATGGCGGCTATTGTGTGTATTATTGCGATTGTGAGACTGGAACAACGACGCGCGCACGCGGCGGTAGGCAACGGCGAGAAGAATAAAGAAGCGAAGGATAAGAACAGAAAAAGAAATCATTTATCAAAGTACTGTTTGTTTTGTGTACTATTTATTATTATTTCTTCGGTTTATTATTACACGTATATATTTTTTTTGTTCGTAATATTTTTTTTTCAAAACGAAATACACTAACTTTTGTTGACCACGACGACCTACTTGTATTATAATGACGACGCCATTGTGGGCACGTACAATGCACGCATTGTCTATTTGCCTAGGCTTTATTGTAATAATAAAATTGTTTTTTTTTTATTTATTTTTTTTTTTTAACTCAACGCGGTGGTTGACTCTGTCGGTGGCAACGATATACCTGCCATATACGCACCTTTTGTCAGCTTGTCTCATCGGGTTGCATCATTTTTTTTTTTTTTTAACGCGTTATTCTAAGACTCCATTCACCTTGGCAGCGAGGTTCACATCCAATGTGTTTGTGTACGTGTGTGTGAAGAATTATAATGGTAAATATAAATATACTTTGTATTTATTTTATATAATATCGTATGCATATTAAAAGTTAATGTATTTGCATACATATACAAAGTGTATTTGTATCTTCATAGGATTCCGATGAATAATAATAAACACTGTTAGTAGGAATGTGCTCGAATTCTATAACTCAAACTTTTAAAACTCAAGAACTTGTATATCTTGACTTGTTTTTGTTCACATTGAATTTGAGTTACGAAATATGTAATGTATTATTATTATACTGAAGCTGCTAAGTACCGTACCGTGTTTATAGTATTATCATAATTTGCTATTATCCCGCTGCTATATGCGTACTGTGTATTTCTAATTATTATTTTAAACCTTTGCGCATGTTTATTATGGACAAGCGGTGCGTGAAACCGCTATGTATATATTTTCAAAGAATCAACTTTGCTTTTTCATCCATGTTATTGAACGTCGAGTTTCCCGAATGAATTTTGTTGAAAAATATATTGAAGAAGAGAAAACAAATATGATTTATCAGAAAAGTAAACGAGTACTTGTATTACGTTATATTATATAAGTTTCGGTAAATTATTCTTTGTCATTTTCGACAGAAAGCCGATATTCATATACGTAAAATTACCTACACATAATATATATATATATATATATATATATAATATGTTTCAACAGCATGTTTTATATAATAAT